TAGATATGTAGGCCGATGCCTTTACCAAAAGAGGATCCAGGCGCCGACGAGCAGTCCAACGAGGACGCCAATCGCGCGGAGGACCAGCACTACGACGAGTGCTTTTCGGACGGCGGCGTAAAAGGTGGTCAGAGCCGAGCCTGTCCAGTTTATCCTGCAACAGAGGAAATCAGCTTGGGTGCCAACCGCACTGGCTCCAGAAACATACCGCCTGTCATTCGTCCCACCTGCGCGTACGCTGGCCTCCCATCCACGCATGACAGCGCGGTATCGTTTCCCGAAAACCCTGCAACCAACGATGAGCACAGACCCGATGTGATGCAAGATGAATGCGCACCAGATCCAGAAGTTAACGTCGGGATATGAGAACCGGGGGAAGATACTCGTCAAACTCGGGGCCACGACAGGCATACGGAGCATCTCCAGCGTCTCCGCATCCGGGGGCAGCAGCGCGTGTGCGCTCATTACCGCTTCCTCACTCTTCCCCCTCACCTTTGCCTTGCCCTTGCCGGAACCCGTTGCCAATGCTACATTGGGTACCGTCATATGCAGCAGGAGATCCAGCGTCATGCCGAGGGAGAGGCCCCAGAGCTTCAGTTCGTCCTCGCTATCCGCGCCATGCTCGAGCGTTGCGCGCTTCTCGTCAATGGCGAGCAGTTGCGACTTCGTATCGCTAGATGGCGAGTGCGCGAGCGGGGTCGCGGCAGAGGTAGAGGGGGAAATGAGGATGGCGGGGAACTGCATGCTGCCTACGAGCACGCGCATCAGGAGGCGGAGCACGTTCGAGTGTCGCGGCGCGAGGCGCGACGACGCGTCGACGGTGACATGTGACCAGCGGGGCCGCCGCGTTCGGGTGGAAGAGGGGAGCGGGAGGAGCTCGGCGAGAGGCACCCAGTGGAGCGCTGTTCCCGGGGCGGGGTCAACAGGCGTGGTGTAGGGGGCGAGTTGGAGGAAGACGAAAGGAGAGAGCACCATGAGGAGGCGCTTGCCGAGGGACGTCGTCACTTCGCGATCGTCCAGTTGGCCTACGGGGGTATATGCGCTCTCTGCGAGGTCGAGGCCAATTTCCTCCCATGTCTGGCGCATAGCTGGGGCGCGTCAGACATGGCGTATCAGACTCACGTACGGGAAACGTACCAGTGTACATGCCACCTTCGTCCCCATCCTCAGTCTTGCCCCCTGGGAAAGCGACGTGCGCCTCGCGCGTACGCGGGCCACTACCGCTCATGCGGCCAGGCTCTGCTGTTGCATCTGGCTTGTCTCTGCGGAGGAAGAGGATTTCGGGACGCGCTCCTGGAGCGTTGACCCAGTCGAGCTGGAAGAATTCTGTCAGCCCAGGGGCGGGCTCCGGAGACGGATTCAACGAAGGTGGGGGGACGACGCGGATGATGAGAGCTACGGCTGCTCTACGTGGCTCTGAAAGAAAGCCTGTCAGTGGATCGCTGACAACATATACTGCATGACGTACGGGTTGCGGGGGACGCAATGGCCCTCGGCGGTGTCGAACGGATGTGGTGGAGAGCTCGCGAGAGCAACGGAATGATAGAGATGTCTGAGAACGACGGTGAGTGAGCTGGAACATGGAGGTGAGGACGGACAAACCTGCTGTGTCTGGCATGGTGGACGATGGCAAGGCGGGGTAAGAGACAACAGTGAGAGGAGCAAACTGCTCGTCTGCGGGAAAACGCGGCCAACCGGCCGAAGTGTTTAGGCGCGCAGGCTACGCGTTGGGGATCTGGGGAGTTGACGTCACGACGCACACTTGCCTTTCTCGGCTGCTCGCGATCTCAGATCACATGGCCCGCGTCGTGCTCGTATCCTCACATACAGCCACCAACAGTCGCTGCCCTCGCGTGGATACTCGCTTTATCTCCCTATCCTCCACTGCGGACACAGCTACCTGGCACAGCCCGGTATCCCCGCATTTTCAATATCCAGTCAGTTCCCACACCTCTGGAAAGTAGAGGTCGTCTCGATGTCGCCGGAAGAGTCATCGGTGAAAACCAGAACCGGCTGCCGTCGTTCGAGAACTCTCTTCTCCACCCTTGCTGTAATCCAGGAGAGCCTCGCGGACTGGCCTAGTGGTGGCGAGACGTTGCCTTCGCCACTTTGGAATTCTGGACAACGGTCGTCGGTAAATGTGCCCGCATACATCGAAGGTGACGAGCATGTGCAAGAGTGCGTCGAACACTCTAGATGGTGGGTTGCTTCTCGATCCGGATTCAGACGATGTTCGTACTCCCGTATTGCACTCGCTTGCGACTCGCGTGGCTTCGACACACAAGACGGATATGCCAGAGCGGGGAACGGCATCTCGGACATGGAATTTCCTGATCACCTGGTTAAGGCCGTACAAGACCGGAACAGCATGCTACTACACCCTGCACGTAAGTATACGCGGATGGAGAACGCAATGGCCTTCACACATCTGACGCATGTGTCACCTGGGTCACAACATCTACCAAGTAGTCAAACCAAGATCCCATTAATGCAGGACTCGCGCGTTCCGCGTTGTACCTGAGCTGTAGATGCAGCTTGCCGTCAAACGTGAAGAGGTGACACGAGAGGGAAAAGTTATCGAGTCTGCCAGCGACCAGCATGTCTGTGATGCGTATCACCGTGCCCTCCGCAGAGTGATCATTTGTAGGTGTTCCTTCCAGCTCTGTCTCCTGAACAGTATACAGGGCCGGGAGCAATGACTTGAGGTCTCCGAGGCTGCTAATGAACGGCAGTGCTGGCCGCCCGGCGACTCGAGCCTTGTGGGCCTCCACAAACAATGGATCATACATCGTCATGAAACGCCAGAAATAGGGCGACTCAATGAAGGCGTTGTTCCGTTCCTTGAACCGCTCGACAAGGGCCCATATATGCGTGGACGGGGCATGGACCGCATCGGCTACTGCAGAGCGGGGCACATCGAGCAAGATGGGGAACATCCCTATGCGCACGGCTGTCTCCATTTCACCGCTTGCCCATTCATGAAGATGTTTAGGGAATTTGGTGGCGAGATCGATGGGCTGGGAGAAATCGAGGTAGATGGTGTCGCTGTCGCTGTTGCCATTAGCTTCGGCGCCCTGGTCATTGTCTTTGAGTGCGGATAGAGCGCTGGCGATGTTCATGAGGTGTGTTACTGTAACGCCGCGAGCCTTGCATGCCTGAAGAATGTGGATCGTCTCCTCCTCAGGCCAAACCTTGCGCAAGAACCGAGGAACAAAATGTGCAGTCGAAAGCGAACCGTTCGGAACGATGCCAGACATTGGCTGAGACAGAATAACAGTTGAGTTAGTATTCCTGATGGATCAATTGGATGAGCGACTACGATTTTACCTTGTTAGCGAAGCGCGTATATATTTCGTTAAAAATGAGCTTGGCTTTGCTCGTCTCTTCCTCATTCTCGTTCAACCTGGGTACGAGCTCTTGTGTGGGAGTTGGAATGAGCGCAGGCGGGACCGCGCCAGATAAATGCGCGTCCAGCTCGCTCTGCGCCTTTCCGGGACTCGCCAGGAGCTCCACGAAATGGCGGACGAGATTGATGGATCGGCGCTGGTCCGTGACGAAGTGCGTTGTTAGCACGCCCAATACATATTTTCCGGAACGTGTGTCGGTATCCCTGCCCCACCAGACCGTACACGTACGCTCGCGGATATCGAGCGCTTTGTCGAGGCTGACCGCGAGCCATTCGTCACGCAGCTTGGCTACGGCATCGTCCTGATCGGTGAATGTATGAAACTCGATCTGAGCCGCGGAGGTACGCAACGCGTGGGCCCGCGTCACAGGAGCGTTGACAACAAAGTGCGGCGTGCCGTCGATGAACGTTACGTGGGATGCAAAGAGCGGGTGGCGGAGGCGCAAGGCTGCGCAGGCGAGGATGACCCGGTCGTCGGTGATGGCATGTCCCCGCGAGCACGTTAGGGAGACGATGGTTGAGGGATCCGCGGTTCCACCGGCGCGCCGGCTGAAGGCGTATGCGACTTCGCCGGATGAAAGAGGGCGACTCCTTGTCAAACGCGACTCACTCATGTGAGCTTGGAGGGTCTGTATCAGTGCGAGGTCGGATGCCGCTCTACCGGTGGGTATATTCGTGGCCATAGTATGAATCTTGGTGACGGTGGGTATCGGAGAGAGACTCACAGCTGGTGCAGTAGCTTCGCAATCCGTAAGGCAGCTCTTATAGCGTACTATAGCCTACTGGCGGGCTTCTGGGGGAGATAAGCCTCCCTGATTGGAGGATCAGTTCAAAGGGCATTGATGTATTTGAATAACCGTACAAATGGGATACAAGGCTACATACCATATGTGCATGTGTCGTTAGTGCGCTAGGCCTTCGAGGTGCCTCAAGACTAGTTCGTAAACTCGGAGATGTCTATTGTTCGACCTCGGCATTCATAGAGCTGGTCTCTATCGACGGGACCTGCGCGAAAACGTGGGATAAGTGGTATGCTTCTGATTCGAACGTTCTATACTCACCCGCCTTGTGAGAGGTGATGCATGATGCATGGACTGACGTAGGTCCGTGGCTATAATTCGTCGCGGGGGAAGACAGATCGCATGGGCAGCCCCATTGAATCCATCTTCTCAGTGTGCGTGTACTCAATGCGGCGGGAGGGTAAGTGACATTCGATACCAGTATCATCGACACTCACCTGATGGGAACGATCTAAGAGACCATGATGCCTTCGCCTAGGCCCGACGGTCGCGTTATGCCCCCAGCCTGAGTGCAATGGCACGCTAACATATCGCGTAGCATGAGCGTAGTCACTATTTGTCAGTCAAACGTTGGACGTACCAGTAAGCAAGGCTATGAGAACGACAGCGACCTGGCATCGTGACATCCGTGTCAGTGGTGCTTTGCCATGCTCATATACTTACAAGCTGAGTGGGCGAATGACAGACATGTAGCGGTGGCTCTCGACACGACCCGCCACGTTCAAGACAACTGTAGTAGTCTCCAGCCACTCGACTGTCATTTGATATTGCATCTTTAAGAATGAAGTGCCATCGGCCTTATAGTGTAGTGGTTATCACGGCGGATTCTGATTATGAAGTTTCCGCCGACCCAGGTTCGATCCCTGGTAAGGCCTTAGGTCGCTTAGGTTCGTGTTTTTACTTTTGTTACTATCACAGGCAGTCCCACAAGTGACGAAGTTTTGCATGCAGGCAGAGGCGCCCGGAGACCGCGATCCCTTGACGTGACGTCAGTCGCGCCTGAGCCGACTCGGAGCACTTGTGCCTCGAGGATAGCTTCACAAAAGGTCGTTCATCACGAAAGAATTCTCTGACCACATCATGAGTGACAACCATCTCCTGCGCGGCGAGCAGGTCGTGACCAAACGCCTCAAATCTGCGTGGGCAGGCTTCACAGGTATGTTCTATCCAGCAATCATGAACTCGAAGGGCTGCTGTATCTACCTACTCTTCCTCCAGATTTTGCGCTGCGCGACAATGTTCTTGAGGTCGCGGTCGGTCTCATGATCGCATCCGCATTCACGACTCTCGTCAACTCCTTTGTGTCCGACCTCCTTCTCCCACCAATCTCGCTCCTACCGTTCATGTCGCATCGTAACCTACCGCAGAAGTTCGTGGTCCTCCAACGCGGAGAAAACGGCACGCATTACAATACCCTGCAACAAGCGCAGGATGATGGCGCGGTGACAATGAACTATGGGTACTTCCCATGTTCGTCCATCTGGCTTGTCACTCAATATGCCATGCTTGTAGAATGTTCCTGGATCATCTGGTCAACCTCGTCGGGCTTGCCACCGTACTGTACGCAATCGCGCAATTCTACTCTTTTGTGTCCAACGACTCTATCATCAAGCACACCGTGCGCTGCTACGCCTGCCGGAAAGAGATATCTTCCAAGGTCAGTATCATGTTGTCCGTAAATGTTCGGGTAGCCACTGACGCCGCATCGAACAGGCAAAGAGATGCGGATTTTGCACGAGCTGGCAGGACCAGAGGGAGGATCGTGAGACAAGTGCACTATAATTCGTCACAAAGCCGTATTTATCGTGGTTTCATTGAATCACTCTTAGAGGTGTGCCGATGTTATCGTTGTGAATTCATGCCCGGAATGTTCAGTTTCGTTGTCTAGCTATGCGCTCCTCCTAGCGTACATGATCAGTGTCTTCGTCTGTCCTTCTTTCCTTCCTTTCATCAACCCTGCAGCGGCAATCCGCAAATCTCACAGTCGCTGCCCCCGTGCGCGTTGACGAACGTGCAATGTGGGCAGACGCGCTCGTTCGCTCCACCCGCCGCAAAGCCGTCGCCCTGCCCACCTGACTCCCGCGCGATTTGGTCGAACACTTCCGGAGGGATGTCCTCGTCCATAGGCGCGTGCGTTGACCCCGAGGGTGCCGACGCTGCGGGGCGTGAAGCTGGAGGGCGGCGTGAGTAGACTGGTAATGTGTACGATATCCAATACTTACGTATCGTCTCTCGTGTGAACGTCATGAATGTTTGCCAGCCCTCCGTTCGGATGAGGGCGTCAAGCAAAGTCGGATCATCCAAATTTGGCGAAGTCGCCGTTCGTACGAGTACTTTCATGTCATCCTATACGAGGGTCCAGGTCAGCGGATGGTACATGCTTGTCGTGGTCATACATACGGGAGACATGAGTTGCGTCGTCCCGAGGAAGGCGATCAGATGCCAGTCGCTCAACCACTGCGCAAGTACAACGCGCTGCGAATGGTCACCGCCCAACGAGCTCTCTTTAATGTCGGGCGCATGCAGTTCTGCAAGCTTCCTGAGCACCTTCTCGATATGCTGGTCCTCGAGGCCCGGACGGTTTTCGATTGGGTACGATGCCGAGCGGAACACTGGTGACGGATTTTGTGGGAAACCATGTGAGACCTACGGGCAGATATCAGCACACTGGGATTGATAGGCCATATGAACTGGCTTACGTTGACAAGGAGGTATTCCACAGGGAAACACGGCTTTGCGCTCTTCTGCACGTCTAGGCCGTACTCGTTCTTATACCTGAAGAATACGTCGGGCACGTAGCGCGCCGAATGCTCGCCCCGGTCCTCCTCCATCACGCGCACGATCCCCGGATCTACGCTTGCCTCGATCATGTCCGCCTCTACCATAGCGCAGGCCTGTTCTGACACCTGGTACGCTGACACGTCGATTTGACCATCAGCTGTGCCAGTAAGCACCGCAGTGACCATGCGCGAGCCATACAGGCCTGTTGAGGATGATTTCGACGGCGTCGGATTGGAATTTTGTACATGCGCAGCGAAGATCGCTTCCAGGGAGGAGAGGTAGAACGACTGCGGATGCCGCTTATATTTCGTGAGTGCCCGATTCTCCTCTTGCGGTTCAAGGTCGGTGAAAATGTAGCCGACAATCTGCAGCGGTGTCGATGCCGACCGCGCGAGGTCCTTGATCCGTTGTTCGTCCTCCCACGGCTGTCCGAGCGACAACCCGTCCAATTCGCCCTCTTGCGGAGGTTCGTGGATCGCCTCTACCACCGCCTTCACACCCATCGGGACCTCGTCGTACGGCTCATAGTGCCCGATTAGCCAACCGAACCGCTGTGTACCCGTCAGTCGCCATGCGTGCAGGAACCGGTCAATGACGTCAGTCGAGGCGATCTCCAGGTGATCGATCATCCGGAACGTCTGACTCTGCAATGTGATTGCAGACGGCTGGCACGCTGTGCAGATAGAGGCAGGCCATGGTGCATGACTTCCGCTTGGACACGGGACCTTCACCTTGTATGACAGCTGAGAGAGTGGGGGCAAAAGAGCGGATGAAGACGTTGCCGCTGAGCCCTTTGGTGTCAACTTGCGGAGGTATGCGTGGTATGAGAGATGTTTGATGCTGTGTTCTGCGTGGTACGCGGCGTCGTATGGCTCAAGGGGCATGCAGTACTCGCACATGCCCGCTGGGCCATGCTTGCAGAACCGCGAATCACGACCACGCGGTATCTTGCCATCTTTTGACCGCCAGTATGTATCCACAGGGTCTTCTTGTACAAGTTCCCAAGGGCTTTTCGCCGCGGGGCCCGACTGAATAATATGGGATGTTCCTGCGGCTGGGGCTGCTTCGGGCACGATGTCTTCTCGAGACTTGTACGACACGAATACGAGTTCGCCATGCCTAATGAAGACGTGTCAGCCGAGCAAGCACTCGAGCACTGCTCCAGGGAGGTCGGCTTGTTGGCTACGACTCGGGTGCGCGACTGACATGAGGTGCGGTGAATGGGCTTTAGATAGAGTTGGCCCCTGAACAAGGTCAGACGGCCCCCTGACGTGTCGACGGGATGGACCCGTTGTAAGACCAGGCAAACACTCCCTGAAGCAGCATGACCGCAATTACGCACGATAGTCCCAGAGATTGCAAGTTCCCTTTGATCGTCGACACTAGGGTCTCATTCCCCCGCGGCCGGTTTGAGATTGCAACAGTAGTGGGGTCAGCATTGGTTGTAGTTTCGAGGATCTTAAGTACATATGAGATGGATCTACACTGAGATGCCTCGGTAAAGCGCACCTTGGCCACTAGCTCTGATATGTCGGCCGTTGGCGCAAACTCGAAGCGAAAGTTGCCGTCCTTGGATCGGATTCTAATCAACTGCATGAGGGTCAGGCCTTGTTGAAAGAACTCGGGGCAGCCCATACCATGGTCGAGGTGAATGACGGCGAGCGCAGAGAAGTGAATCCAGCGACTTACGCGTCGCACAGAAGATGCATACGCGTTACGTCACGCATGGCTTACATAATACAATGGAACGCGTCGTGAGCATGTGACCTTATGCCGGCGCGCTCACGCGTCTCTGGCGCAATCGTGCGCGCTCATTGCGCACACCGCAGAGCCTTCCCTAGCTGCCGTTGTTGGCGCTCGGGTCAAGCCTGCACGTTGTTATAATTGAAATAAGAAGTACAACTGGATTATGATGAGGGATGTCGCTATCGAAGGGCGGGCTTGCAAATGAATGCACATGGGGGTAGCCAAGGAGCGCATTCAAGACCCCCCGAGCTTGCTTCCACCATGGATCACAGACACACGCCGGCGCAGGACCCACAGGGAAACAACAGCGCTGCAGAGCGACGCCGTGTACGGTCCATCAGCCAGCCTGGTCCGTCATTCGGACACCCAGGCTTCCGACCAGGTCAGAGGACCCCGTTAGCGGGAGCTTCCTCTGCGGTGCCCGACACCCATTTTGCAGATCCATTTGACCTCGACTTCCTCTCTTCGTATAACCCACTCGCCCACCAGCAATCGTCCGGGTCGACCCCTGCGCAAGGCTACAACGAAGCCACGCTCCAACGAGCAGCAGCAGCGCTCCAGCAGCAATCACCGTTTACACCCGCGTCCTCCCATTCCATGCCGACGCCCCCACCCTCGATGCCCTCGATGTCCAACATGCCTACAGTACCGAGCATGTCCAGTATGCCCAGCATGTCTAGCATGCCCAACGTACCGAGCATGCCAAATATGCCGACACCGGGCAACCTGCAAAACCCAACACAGGCTTTCCTCGCCGCACTGCCCTGGCTGCAGATGATGTACCAGGTGCAGCAACAGAATAATCAGTACGGCCAGCCGATGCAGCACCCCACTCACCATGTATCCTTCCCGCAACAGCCGCAAGCAGAATCTCAATCACAACCTGTTCATACACAAACTCACCGGCCCCCTTCATCCCAGCCTCATACTCCATGGGAGGGGACCTCAACCTCGTTCTCATCTCCAGAGCTCAACCAGATGGCTGCAGCATCCCCTGCATCCTCGGCGGGCGCGCCATCTCCGCCACAGCAGGCAGACGCCCCGGCGGAGGACCCAGTGGCCGTCGCGGAGGACAAGCGGAGGCGAAATACCGCTGCTTCTGGTAATGCATGCTTTCCACCGCGTCAGCGCTGCATGCTAATAAGACAAACTACGCACTACACAGCACGCTTCAGGATCAAGAAGAAACAGTGGACGGTCAATCTCGAGCGCACCATCTCGGATCTCTCTAGTCGCGTACAGGAGCTTGAGATGGAGGCCGCGGAGCTGCGGCGGGAGAACGGGTGGCTGAAAGAGATCGTCATGTTGAAAAGCAAACAGAACGCGCAGGCGGCCGTGGCGGGGGAGG